AATTGTGGAGATCGCAGCAACAGAGAGCCTGCACAAATACACCGGAAAAAGCATGCAAAACGCAAGACATGTATGCCCTTTGTGTTTTCAAGACTAGCCTCAGAGGTGACGGAGGAATTTTTTTCTCTTGTTGCATGAGAATCAGCTAACCAGCCAGCCAGTTAATTGCCTAGTTAAGCAGTTTGCTGGAAACGCTTAAGCCAGCCACTCTATACAATGTCGTACTTACAAAGTACAAAGACTAAAGAGCTTCCCGTCTATGTAGCCCACAATAAAGGGAGCCGTCAGTCCCACGGAAGAAAGCAAATGTAGCACCACAGTCCACTTTGTGAGTATCGGGCCAATTAGATCCATAAAGAGGAGCGTGGAGGCAAAAGAGTACACGTACAAAATAGATATTTCCGTGTTAAGACTGCACAGATTCATCAGTACAACTCCCAAACTTAACTGTGACATTGTTTCTTCCGGCTGCTCTCTGAAAGTCTTGCTCATGTACACCTGCCCCACTATCAAGGAAGCGCTCATACAACCGGAGAACTGCAAGAATAACAGAAACTAGAATGTGCGAAATCAAATCAGGCGCAGTGCTTGCATACATATATAGAGCTTCTGAATTCAATTAATGCATCTGATAATGTAGATCATGTAAATGCTGAATGCATTCCGTGCTCTTATGTAGCTCTTGCGTGCAAGCGGGCATGCGCGTGAGCGTCGGTCTAAAACCTTTACAAAAAGTTTAAAGCTGAGCCATGTTGTTTGTTTACCGCGAAGGAGTATGCGCATGCCACCTGTGCTGCATAAATCCTGCAGAAGTAGCCTCCACCACAAGGAATGATGTTTGGGTACAACAGCGCGAGCGCAAGAGAAAGGCCGAAAAGTGTGACGACAACGAAAGCACAAAGAAGCGGATGAAGAAACCACTTGGCTGTAATGGACCACATATTGGATTCCGGGTCAGAAAGAAAGATAGTAAATTGAATTGGCAGCAACAAACAATGCTGTAGAAGCAGGTAGATAGACACGCGGAGAGAACACTGGTAGTTCGTCACCGCCACGTATTCCGCCTCCGCCTCCTTGTCTACGAACTGCAGGGGGAAGTATTGCAGGTCCCGAGAGGCAGGTCGGTGCCCGTCTGATAAACGAGTGGACCAATGGTCCGCTGAGGGTCGGCCTGGACTGGAGCTCTTGGAGCTCTTCCCAGAAGCGTCTTTGGACAGTCTGCTGCGGTGTAGAGCTGTCGCCTCTTTGTAAGCCCACGTGAAGTTCAGCTCGCCGCCAGCGAGCTCACGGAAGGGCGCTGACAGCGCCGAGAGAATTCGATCAGAGATGCTCTTGTGCAGCGGAGGAGTTGGAGTGGAGGCGAGGGCAGCCCCCGCGTCAGGATCTTTGCTTTCCTTTGAGTCCCCAGTCTTTTCAAGCTCGGTGGGTTTCAAGTCCTGGACGATCGGGACAAAAGTGGAGCTTTCTTTATCTTCCTCCTCTTCTGTACACCCGCTTAGCTGTCTGAAACTTTGCCGGAAGTTTCCGGTCACTGATCTGTCAGCTTTGGTGAATGTGCGCCGAATTTCTTCGCCAGTTTGAAAAAGACTGTCTGAACGTACACTCGAAATCATGGAGGTGGGGCCTGCATTGGCGCCCTCGAATTCTGAGGCTAGTGAAGGCTTAAACGAAACCGTCTTGCGCACGAACTGTGTAGAAGTGAGGCTTCGGTTTTCCTCTCCGCAGAACAATTCTGCAGGTTTTGACACGCCTCGCGGCAGGTTGAGGCGGTCGCTTTCATCACTATCATTATTGGCTATCAGTGTATGCGATGTTGCTGTGGCGGCCCCGGCAGATCCTGCGTTCTGATCAGGAATAGACCCCATCTTTGCACTCTATTTGATTTGGCGTCCCCTCTTTGGGGCGACAGCAGGCAGATTTTGGGCTGGGCAGAAAAGCCCCTGCGTTGATCCGCTCGACATAAACGCATGAAGCACCGCTGTATAATCGCAAACAAGGACTTGCGGCAGCTTCAGTCAGTTCAAAGTCGTCCGGCTCGAAACACTTCGCCCGAAGCTGTTTTCCGCAGCTCTGGAAAAAGAAGGAGTTTCCTCCACAACTGTTTTAGAAGTCAAAGCTGGTGTGCTGCGCGAATCAGCCTTAAGGCGACGCCGCGCAGGAACAGAACTGGTGGCCTCGGTTAGAGCACCAGTTAACCACCCGGGGAGCTGCTGTGCCAGGAACCGGGTAAAATAAAACTCCCAGCGTCTAGACGTCGATATAGGTAATGTCTAAATGCAAGGGAGCGGATATTCATCCATAAAATTTCCCTTGTAAATCAGCCTGTCCCACCTCGTTGCCGGGTGAGTGGAACTGGCTGAACCGCATCTCCAACGGCCCTTTTCTCACGGCAACTACGCGACAACAACCAAAAACCCTTCAAAAATATTCGTGCAATCGTTTCTTGAAGCAATTCCTGATAGTTTTGACCACACAGGCAGACCTCAGGCTGCAGCCGAGCAGGGCGCCGAATGTCCTGCTTGTAGATCCGCAAGAGAAAAAGGCCCCTATCCAGCTTCCTGCTGCCTTCAACCGACATATTATGTAATAGAACGTAAAAAGCTTAATTTAAATCTTTGATTTATGAAGGACTTTGGATTTACTGGTTTCCTTTCCGTGCTGTTCGCGAGGTGGCGCCCTTTTTTCGACGCCTGACACTTCACTGCAGTTCATACACACAGGCCTTGCATGTTACTGCATGCACACAGAAAACGCCGCTTTTTTGGCACTTTTTGTGATTGGCAGTTAACTTGAACTAACTTATGTGTTGGATACCTACTCTGCAGCTCTACAAAAGGCAAGGAAAATTGACTTGTCTCGCGTCTTGAGACGCGAGCGATACAGGAATCCTGAAATCTGGCTCTTTGTATGTGCACAGTGTTTTGCTGACCCGTTGCCTTATAATATGGCTGATATTGGTAAATACATGGATTAAGTGCCAACACATGCCCACACATGTGGGACTCTAGTTTGCTCAGTCCGTTTGACTGCACTTTCGTGGCACTGTGGAACGTGGGTCCCTCGCTGCCTACTAAAATGCCTAAAATGCCTCCGCGGTTTTCAAAACCAGAACCGATTTAGACATTTTAGCAAACTGAGTCTCCGTTCGTTCTTTTTAGAGGGGCTCTACAGGCTAGGTCATGGCTGACAGCCTGAAGCGAACGAAAACGGAGCTGTAACAGGCGTTTATTTGATAAGGTTTCAGTCTTAAACATTGTTTTTTCCGAGAACATTCTTCACAATCTTCCTTGCGGCACTAAAAAAGATTCAGGTTGCCTCTGATTCTGAGTAAATGAGTGCCACAGCCGGCAATAAGTTTGCAGTTTCAGCTACCAGACACAAGTAGGCGAAACTGCAAGGCGCCGAAAATCGTGCAGATTAGGAAATCTTACTTCTCCGCAAAGAAGTGAAACTTGATTTTTGGAATAGCCAACGAAGGGGCCGCGACTTTGATCTCGACTCGACGCCATGGCTCCGGGCCAGAAACGTCAGCGATCGTCCTAAGAAGTTATGTGTGTAGACTTCTCTTTGAAATTTATTTATCCGCAACCTTTTGAACTCCACTTACCAAGAACTTTGTTCAATGCATGCGGCGCGAAAAACCACTTCCTGAACGCCTGTGAGTGGCTGTTTCTGGCCTCTGCAGATGCTCATTGTACTCGTTTCCTTTTTGCTGTTTAACAGTGAAGTCTAGTCAATATCTTACTCTTTAGAACATGCCTGTGTCCCGGAACTCGGAAAACTCCACCAAGATAACGTGTGGGGTAAGCAAAGGAGGCATCGGGCAACAGCTCCACTGTCTCAGCCCAAATTGCTTCTGGTTTCATTTGTAACGAAAAATATGTGAATTGTAACGTAGCCTAAAGGTAAACCTTATGAATCATAGTTTTGAGTCCTTCGACACTGGTGCCGTTTCTCTAGAGTTGTTCAAAGCATCTCTGGAGACCAGATATAACACTGTCAAAAGAAAGTTCTAGCGTGTAAGTTAATGGCTTTCTTATTTTCGATGAGTTTATTTATTTCTAGGTTATTCAAAAGTGCTTCACGTGCAGAACAGATTTATGGGATTTTCCTGTTGTTCAACGCAGACTTTCAAACTTGGTTTCTGCAAACCACACAGAACACTATCACAGGATAGCTCTGGCATATAAGTTGATTGCTTCCTCGCTTTTTTATGCATTTGTCAACTTCTGGGTTATTCATTCCTTGTTCAACGCAGACTAACAGATTCAAACTTGGTTTCTTCAAATTTTCTTAACGGCACTGGCGCGTGCCGGAAACGAGCAGGGAAAAGAATGGAGGCCAACACGCAACCCCAACGAATAAGTTGGTATTTGAAACTGACTGTACACCCCGACAGGAACAAGAGCCAAAGGTAGGGGCAGACATGCACGGGGAGCCACTGCAGCAGCAGCCGCTGCAGCCGCTGCAGCGCTGCAGCCGCTGCGGCTGCTGCAGCGCTGCAGCTGCTGCAGATGTTGCCCCCGGAGCTTCCGCCCGTTACAAAACAATATTTGCGCTGACAAGGGCATATATGCTCATTGCTCCTGTAAGCCCAAGGCCACCTGCATGCAATGGTTGGGGTTTAATCAAATAGCGCGCATTTCGCTTCACGAATTGCTTCACGGGTCCCGGCTCAAATTAGATGCTAAGGGAAAACTACCACACATCTGTTGCTCCAGCTTGTGCAAGTTTGCAGCGAGCCTGGCGTGTCCTGCCGCAGGCAGCTGCAGCAGCTGCAGCAGATAGCGGATTCAAATTAAAGAGCTCAACGCGGAAAAAAAACTAGAGCGCAGCCGACGCACTGAAGCCAAAATAGGAGACAAACTTGCGCATGCATTCGCCCCCGGGCCCAGCCCGGACACCCCACGGTGTGCGCCTCTGCCCGGAAACGGCGACTTGCAAAAGGCAAATCTTTTCAAGAAGTGCTTGCGCACTCTTCTGCACTTTTTGAATTGCTATTAGTCAAAATGATCCGCGCTTGAGCTGTTCCCGTCCTTGTTCTCAATTTGCGGCGTAACTTGGGAGTCCAACAGCCCCCACAGGTTCCACGCAGCCACCGCCGCATCCCACACAAGCCTCTGCATGCACACAAACACGCAGTGCGCGCTGGTGTATCTACACCCCAAAAAGCAGCGAGAATGCGAGAAAACGCAAAGTTCAAAGCCAGATGCCACTTCTACTTTACTCTCCCCTAGGCCGCACGTACTGCTGCCTGCACGCAGAAACACAGCAGAACAAATGGGCAAAGAAACGGTGAATGGGCGGTGGCTGCTGCTGTTCTCTGCAGCTCCTAAACAGCAAACGGAGATGTGTCACTCTATAGTGTACACAGCAAACGTGAACGCTCTTTTATTCCTACCCTAAACAGAGCGCGAGTTCCCTGCAGCACAAAACCACAGCGCAGCATCAAACTGCAAGCTCTGCGCCGCTTCTCTAGCAAAAGTCCCTTCCCTGTGAATAGAAATGCAGCTGTACAGATGTTTGCAATTTGCAAACGCACGCAAGAAGAGCCACCAAAAAGTGCATGCAAACATGCGCAAGTAGGCACGACTGCAATACTGTGATAAGTTGAAAGAAGAACTGGACAGAGAGCGGAGATGTGAACTTGACGCACTGCAACGAAGAATCCCTCCCGGGAAAAAGGCTTCGCTTCCCATTCCTTTTTGGGCTGAAAAATGCAAAGGAACAAACAAAAAACAAACAAAACAAAAATGCAAAACAAAAATGCAGACACCTGGCGAGACCAGAAAGCCCGGGGATGCAGCTGCGCATACACCCGAGAACTGTAAGCAAATATTCGAATTCGAGCATACAGTCTGCACAGTTTCTCTTTCCTCTTTTTCTTCAGTCTTCTTTTGTAGTTTTGGTTCTCCTTTGGATGCTTTTTCCTTCAGAGGCTCCTCAACGGGAGTTTTCACGTCTTGTGGCTGCTTGTCTTCGGCGGGCACCACAACCACTCTCTGTTCCTCTGTAGACACTCCCACCTCTTCTGGAGTCTTCATATCCACTCTTTGTTCTTCTAATTCCTCTTTTTCTGGTTTCTTCTGAGGCTGTTCAAGTTTTTCGGGTTTCTCTTCAGGACCCGCCGGAACCACTTGCTGCTGCACTTCCTCTGCAGGCGCGGCCTGCTGCTGCTGCTGCTCTTCTCCCATTCCCACATCCCCGGGCTCCACTTTCTGCCACTCTTGTTCCCTAGTTGGCTGCGGCTCTGCTGCAGGAGGTTCTGGAGTTCTGCGAACTGCATTTTCGTCGAAGACCGGCGAGGCTTCTTGCTGGTCTGACTGCTGCATCGGGGGCACTTCCTTTTCTTCCCTTGGCTCCAGTTGCTGCTGCTCCACGGGCTGTTCCGTCGCAGCTGCTGCTGCTGCTGCGGGCTGCTGCACGTCTGCAGCAGCAGGTTCTTCTGCAGCAAGCTCTTCACCGGCCCCCGCCCCTTCTTCAAAAGCCGTCAAAACCAACTTCGGCAGTGGCACATTCTCCTCCAGGCCTTCCTCTTCAGTCAACTCGGGGGGCACAGCGGTTGCCCCGAAAGGCTCCAGCAGCTCCTGCTCCTCCTGGGCAGCAGCAGCATCTTTCTGAAAACCCAGCAGCAGCAGCAGCAGCAGCGACAGGATAAGAGCACGCAGCTACATGCAGCAGCATATTTGCGGAGTCAGCAGCGGCAGAAACGGAGCAAATGCAGCTGCACGCAGGACTCAGCAGCAGCACCTCTGTAAAGGCAGCAGCAGCGGAACCGGAGCAAGTGCAGCTGCACGCATGCACTCAGCAGCAGCAGCAGCAGCAAGGGCCAGACCTTCTGCTTGCCGAGGAGGAAGCGCCAGCACAGAAGAGCAACTCCGAGGACGAAGAGGAGAGGGAGGGCGCGGCTTTCGGGGCGGCCTTCGTGGGAAGAGTCCCAAAGCTCTGAAGAGGCCTCGAGAGTGCTGTCTTGAATGAGTGCAGGCTCGAGGAGTTCGGGGGGCAGCAGCGGGTCTTCGTTGCTGGGGAGCCCCAGGTCCACAGGCTGCGCTGCATGCGCTGCACGCAGCTCTGCATGCAGCTCTGCCTGCGTTGCATGCGTTCCATGCAGCTCCTCGGGGCGCGGCACCAGGCCGTCTGCAGCGGGAGGCAGCCCCTCAGTGCCCGCGGCCGTGTCTAGCTCCGGGGGCAGCGGCTGGTAGAGTTCTGCTGCAGCAGCAACTTTCTGCTGCAGCGGGGGCAGCGCGAGCAGCAGCAGCGCGCAGAAGACCCGCATTTCCCTTTCCAGGCGCGACTTCTCTCGCAGTGCAGCAGGAAACCTCGGGCTGGCAATACACCCCTGATCGAGGGCCAGCGGCAACTTGCAGCAGCAAACCCCTCCGAAAATGCAAAACAAATGGCCCGAAAAGCCGCAGGGGAAACGGAACTCCGGGATTAAGCAGCGGGCCCCCAGGGCACGATCGAACACGAACGGTGCGCCCCTCAGTGCTTCGTCCTGCAGAAATTGCTCGTCAAAACACGGGAGCCGCCCGCGGGAAGGATCAAGAAGGGGCAAAAGAAAAGAAAAAAGCCCTTTTCTGCAGAAAATAACTTGGGCAAAACAGGAATCGCAAACTTCCAAGTGCTGCAGTCCTACTGAAGCCTGTCCGCAGAGGAGCGGGTTTAGGGCAAGGACACAAGGAGGCTACTTGTTCCTATTCAGGCTCCCCCTAGCTCGGAACTTGACCCATTCAACAATAAATGCACCTTTGCATTAGCAAATATTGTGGAAAACAAAATTGCACCACAATTTTCCCGCGTTTTCCGCCAAAAATCCTATTTTCGTCTCGTTTTGCTCTCCACCAGCGCAACCTAGTGGCAGCCGAACACCAGGACCCTATCTGCTTCCCGTCTTATCCTCTCGAACTAAATGCCCCTTTTTTTCCATAAAACCCCCCCAAAACATTCAACAAACGGGAAAATGCAAAAAGTCCAGTGAGGGACAAATTCCTTTTGCAAGTGTGGCACCGCCCGGAACCCCCCTGGCTGTCGTGCTGCCTCTCGCACGGCTCCCTGCCAGTGGAAAGCTCTGCATCCAAGCATATCAAATTTCGCCTGTTTGTCTTTTATTGCTCTATGTTGGCTATTTTTTCCTGGAACTCCTTTCGAAGTTTCGCGCAAGGAGGCAGCCCTTTCGACTTTTGCTGCGTCCCACCATGATCAGATGCGTTTTTGTCGTCAACACCCACGGCAAGCCTCGCATTGTGCGCTTCTACGATGGCACAGTAAGTCATTTTTGCTTTGAAATTCTGCAAAAATTCCCTTTTTCCCTCGGAGTTCTTTCTTTTCTGCCCGCTCAGCCCCCCCGAGCTACTGCCGCGTCGCTCTTCCGTGCTTCTGCAGCCACATGAGAAGCAGCAGCATGTCATGAAACGCCTCTTTGCTGCAGTCAGCCGCCGCCCCGATGACGGCTGCTGCTGCTTCACAGAAGACAAAGAATTGTTTGGCCCGAACCACCGCATTATTTACAGGTGAGGGAACTAACCCTTGCTGCAGCAGCCCCGCTGCTGCAGCAGCGCGTCCCGCAGCAGCACGTCGCGCAGCAGAAAGAGTAGATCGCAGCTGAACCAAACTCAGCAATGTGCTGCGGCAACTCTGCAACAGCAGCAGCAGCAGCTGCGGCAGCAGCAACACGCGTTGCAGCAGCAATAGTTGTGGCAGCAGCAACAGCTGTGGCAGCAGCAACAGCTGTACCAGCAGCAGCAGCTGTACCAGCAGCAGCAGCAGCAGCAGCACTTCTTGCGGAAGCGCTTATGTGGAAGCAGCAGCTGCGGAAGCAGCTGCAGCGCCAACAACTGCAGGGCTATGGGGCTTTCTTGTTTTGTGCTGACACATTTCTTGAAGGCATTTTGCAACTCTTTATTTCATATTTGTGACGGACGAGCTGGAGAGCGAGCTGGGGATTCTTGACCTCATTCAAGTGAGCCATTTCTTTGAATTTGCGGCAGCAGCAGTAGCGCACCAAGAGGAAATAAATGCGACTTTCATTCAAGTTATAAGGTAGTCAAACTAAATCTAATAAAAAGTTAATGAAAACGTCTTCTTGTGATTTTCTTGGATTTATAAAAGGGGGGAAAGAAACTCATTTTGCACGCAGGATATTAATAAGTTGTGTGTGTTGCAAAATAAAGGAGCAGCTGCCTCTAGTGCCACAGGCATTTGCCTCTGTTCCAGCAGCTTCTAGGAAGATAATTTGATTTTCTTTTCTTTTTTTCCTTCCTTTTGCTGCATTCAGGTGTTCGTACAGGTCTTAGATGCCTGCTTTGAAAATGTCTGCGAACTGGACCTCGTCTTTCACCACGAGAAGGTGCTTTCAGTTTGCAAATTGTTTCTAGAGGCAGCGTTTTCTTTTGCTAGCGATATAATTTGGTTTTAATTTGGTTTAAATACTCAAGGAGGGGAGTTGCTGCTGCTTTGCAGCAGCAAAGAAGCAGAAGAAACCTGTTATTTTGTGGAATTCATGTTTCGGCGTCTTTGTGTCCAGTTTGGGTGTTTGCTGCTTGCTGCAGTTCAAATTAATTGCATTTTTGAATTAAATGTTCAATGGGTTGCTATTATATGTATTTTTGTTGCTGTTCAGATTAATTACATTCTTGACGAAATAATTTCGGGAGGTGAGGCACAGCCCGCAGGCCAGAATATGCGAGCCCAGCACTTTACGTGAAATGCTTTTGTGGTGATTTCGAATTCGCTTTAATTCTTTTTTAGTCCTTTTTTATGTTTGCATTAGTGAAGTGATCGGTTTCCAGTTGAATTCAGTTTGCCGCGTTTGCATTTATAAAGTAGCAATTCTGAACTCATTTCGGATCTGACCAGAATTTGCATCTACTACAACATGATGTCTTTGAATTCAGTTGTTTCTTATTCAGTTTCGAACCAAGGATGCGGTGATTTTGAATGTATTTTGGGGGTTTTTTCGAGCAAAAGTGACTTCGAATTTATTGTCCCATTCAAGTTTGCATTTTGAATGCGAAACGCGCAGGTCTGGTGATGGACACCGCAGTGGACAGCATTTTGGAGTCCGTGGGGGGAGTTAAGAAACTGGTTGATTCAGAAACATCTTTTTTTGCATAAGCGTTTTGTGGATACTTGAAGGGCCGCTTCTTTTTTGAGAATTTGTTGCAGCTTCCGCCAGCAGTGGCAGCAGCAGCCAGCTGCTTCCCTAGACCATATGATGGGACTTCAGCGGTTTACCAATATATTCCGCTTCTGAAATACTTGTTTTTCAGTTTATAATATATTTGGGACAAGTGCTTTTGTTCACAAAGCTGCTGCGGTCCAGATCGCCGCGCTTTCTGCTTCCAGTGTTCAAGTTTGTACAGATTGGCTGCAGTGTCGCGCTGGGGTGTACTGCCAGTGCTGCTGCAGCAAGTGCACTGGAGACCATTTCTTTTTTTGTTGCGTTTTCGCGCTTGTCTTCTGCTTCCGCGCCCGGCAGACTGTGCAGAGCCAGTGCAGCGTCTGCCGCTGCTGGTGCTGGTGCTGCTGCTGCTGCCGCTGCTGCTGTTTTGTCAATTCCAGTAGCTGCGCGACCCGGCAGGTGCGAAACGGACAACTAAAAACGGAAACTTGTCAAGGTTTTCGGCTATTGTACAGACACTGAAGCAGCTTTTGCATGCTTAAGAGTCCAGTTGCGTTTAAAGATGCAATTTCAGCATTTAAATCAGCATAAATGGCAGAGACGAAGTCAAGAAAGCAACGCAGCAGCAGCAGCAGCAGCAAGGAGCCACTCTCTGACGAAGCAATTCTCACTCTCCCCATTTGCTGCACTGCCAAAAACTGCTGCGGGGGCCCCTGGGGGGCCCCCGGACCCTCTAAAAATTATTTGAAGTCCTTGGGGCCCCCCCTAAAGCTCTTGTGCTGGGGCTGAAGTGGTATTTGACTTAGTTTAGAGGAGGGGCTGCTGCAGCAGCAGCTGCCCCTCTGGACAGCAGCAGCTGTAGGAGCACATGCAGCAGCGGCTCCAGCAGCAAATGCAGCAGCAGCAGCAGCAGTGCAGTGTTATGAGGCTCTTTTTCTTGAATTAAAATAATCAAATACAATTCCTTTTAAGAAATAAACTTTCTTAATTTGTAGAAAGGTTCTTCACCAACAGCGGCAGCCTTATAACCCTAAACCCTAAGCCCTAAACACCCAACAGAAAAGTCCCCACATTCAAACTGCAGCCTGCCTCGCTCCTTAAACCCTAAACCCTAAATCCTAAACCCTAAAGACCGAGCAGAGCACACGCCCAGGGGCCTTTGATGGCAGCAAGTTGCAACGCTTAGGGTTTAGGGTTTAGCAGCACTCAATTGTGCCAGCAGCAAGTAACCCGGGGGCCCGTGAGGGGCCCCGGGGGCCCCCGGGTGGCAGCAGCAGGGGCGCCCCCTTGCCTTCCAGCCCTTCACTGTCCCTTTTTGCTTCTAAGTTTCAACTCTAAAGAACAAATAAACCCAACTCCAGGTTTGGGGGCCCGTGGGGGCCCCCAAACCAGACAGTTGCAGCAGCTGGAAGCAGCAAGTGGGGCCCTAAGGGCCCCCTTGGCGGCTGCCAGCCCATGGAAGCTCGCCTGCAGCAGCTGCAGCAGCTGCAGCAGCACAAGCGCGGGCTGTTTGGTTAAGGCGGCTGTAGCGGGGCCCCCTGGGGTTTTACCGCGTTTAACAAAATTTTGAGGACTTCGAAAAGGTTTATTTGCATTAAAAACAGAATATAAAAGAATAAAGAACCTTAAAAGTCGCTGGGTCCTTTAAATATTCATAATTTATGCATAATGCACTCTGGCCCCAGCCACCAGGACACACTACAGCACAAACCCGGGCGGCCTTGCTACAGCGTTTTCTCCCGCAAAAAGGAGAAACTGGAATTAACAAATGGAAATACTTAATGGAAAATAATTTAATTCATTTAAACTCCAAAGTCTAGAGCTACACTTCCCCCCACGGGCGGCAGCAGGCCCGTAGCCGCCCCGCCAGGCGTCTAGGCAGCTGTGAAGCTGCAGCAAAATATTCCTTTTATCTGTGAATACACCCCAATCTAGCGCCGAAGAAGTGTATTTGAATTTAAAAATTTCATGTTTTCCGGCCCCCGGCGAGCTGTTTTGCCCTAGCTGCTGCTGCCGCTGCTGCTGCTGCCGCTGCTGCTGCTGCTGCTGCTGCTGCTGCTGGGGCCCCTTCGCCGTACGTTGCGTGGCGCTTCTTTCTTACTGAGACCCTCAGCCTTATCTTCATCTCTTCACCCCGCAGCAGCAGCAGCTGCCTCCGCCTATGCTCCCGGTCTCGCCTTGTCCTGAGCAGCAGGAGCAGCAGCAGCAGCGACACCAGCAGCAGCGACAGTGTCTTTGACGCCTAGTTGCCCAGAAAAGCTGCAGCAGCAGCAACAGCAGAAGGGCTGGGGGCGCCCAGCGCCTTCTGGAAATGAGTCAGCCTGTGGACCTTGCGGCGGCTGCCAACGCAGACAGCAGCAGTAGCAGCAACAGCAGCAGCAGCAGCAGCGGCGCTGATGCTGCCCCCTGCGCAGATGCAGCAGGACTACAAGGCTCTCTTCTTGCCTGCGTTGCGGAAACGCAGCAAGACTTGGCTCGAGGGCAGGAGCCCCCGCAGCAGCAGCAGCAGCTGCTGCAGCAGCCGCAGCAGCTGCAGCAGCAGCAGCAGCTGCTGCAACAGCAGCAGCCCGTGCAGGAGGAGCACAAGCAGCAGCTGAAGCAGAAGCAAGATATTTATTTGCAGCCTGCTTTTGCTTCTGGAGAAGTCGCGGGAACCCCTTTGGTGCACGAGCATGAAGAGGCCCGGCAGCAGGAGCAGCAGCACGCTCAGCAGCAGCGGCAGCAGCAGCAGCAACAGGAAAAACAGCAACAAGAGCAGCTGATACAAGAGCAGCATAAGATAATGCAGCAGGAGCAGGGCCAGCAGCAGCTGCAACAGCAGCAGCAGCAGCTACTGCAGCAGCAGCTGCTGCAGGAGCAGCAGCAGCAGCTCCTGCTGCAGCAGGAGCAGCAGCTGCAACAGCAGCAGCAGCAACAGCTGCTGCTGCAGCAGGAGCAGCAGCTGCAGCAGGAGGGGGAGCAGCAGTTGCTGCAGCAAGAGCAGCAGCTGCAGCAGAAAGGGCAGCAGGCGCTGCTGCTGCAGCAGGAGCAGAAGCGGCAGCTGCAGCAGGAGGAGCAGCAGCGGCAGCTGAAGCAGGAGGTGCAGCAGCGGCAGCTGCAGCAGGAGGAGCAGCAGCGGCAGCTGCAGCAGGAGGAGCAGCAGCGGCAGCTACAACAGGAGGAGCAGCGGCGGCAGCTGCAGCAGGAGGAGCAGCAGCGGCAGCTACAACAGGAGGAGCAGCAGCGTCAGCTGCTGCAGCAGGAGCAGCGGCGGCAGCTGGCGCAGCAGGAACAGCAGCAGACGCTGCTTCAGCAGGTGCAGCAGCAGCAGCTGCTTCAGCAAGAGCAACAGCGGCAGCTGCTTCAGCAGGAGCAGCAGAGACAGATGCTGCAGCAGGAGCAGCAGTTGCAGCAGGAGGAGCAGCAGCGGCAGCTGCTGCAGCAGGAGCAGCAGCGGCAGTTGCTGCAGCAGGGGCAAGAACGGAAGCAGCAGCAGCAGCAGCAAGAGCAGTTGACGCAGGAGCATCAAGAGCTGCCTGGGCAACAGGATCGACAACAGCAGCAGCAGCAGCGAGAACAACAGCAGCAACAGCAGCAGCAGCGAGAACAGCAGAAACGGGAGCAGCATCGGCAGGAACAGCAGCAGGAGGTGCAGCAGCCACATGAAGTGGGGCGGCAGCAGCAGCTGCAGCCTCAGCCTCAGCAGCAACAGCCACAGCCTCAGCCTCAGCAGCCGCAGCCGCAGCCTCAGCAGCAGCAGCAGCAGCCGCAGCCTCAGGCTCAGCCTCAGCAGCTGCAGCAGCAGCAGCCGCAGTCTCAGCCTCAGCGGCAGCAGCCGCAGCCTCAGTCTCAGCAGGAGCAACTGCAACCTCAGTCTCAGCAGCAGCAGCCACAGCAGCAGCAGCAGCAGCAATATCAGCCGCAGCCGCAGCCGCAGCCTCCGCCTCAGCAGCTGCAGCAGTCACAGTCACAGTCTCAGTTGCAGCAGCCGCAGCCTCAGTCTCAGCCTCCGCAGCAGCAGCTGCAGCAACAGGACCAGATGCAGCAGCAGCCGCAAGAGCATGTGCAGCAGCAGGAGCAAGAGCATCTGCAACAGAAGCAGCAGCAGCAGCTGCTGCTGCATCAGGAGCAGGGGCAGGAGCAGCAACTGCAACAGCAGCAGCAGCAGCAGCAGCAGCATGGCGCATCGGATGTCGTCGTCGGGCGCCGGCCGGGTCTCTCGCTGGACCCACTGCGGCTGGAGGCCCCCCAGGAGGTGCAGCAGCAGCAGCAGCAGCAGCAGCAGCTAGGAGATGAGGGGCCCCACAGGGTGTCTCCTCAGAGCCTTTCTGACGACTGTCTCCCCAGCGGCGCTGCTGCTGCGCTGCGGGCGATCGGCGCCGCGAACGCAGCAGCAGCAGCAGCAGCAGCAGCAACAGCGACAGCAGCAGCAGCAGCAGCAACGGGCTCGCCCTCCTCAGAGTCCCCAGGGGCCCGGAGGCCCTCAGGCACAGGGGGCCGCGGCCGCCGGCCCCACAGGCGGCACGGGGAGGAAATCCCAGAAGCAGCAGCAGCAGCAGCAGCAGCAGCAGC